AGAGATTTGCGGACAATGAAGAAGTAATCGAAGCTGTAAATGGTTATTTTGAGGAGCTTGACGAATCAGTCTATAGAGATGGCATTAATAGACTGGAACACCGCTATGAGAAATGTATCAGCCTTGGAGGAGATTATGTTGAGAAATAAAAAAAAAAAATTTTTAAAAACCTTGTTTTTCTTGGTCAGGCCGGAAACTTATCAATCCACCCTCGTATAGTGACTAATTTTTGTATATTTCCTGTTCTTACTATTTATATCATTCGTAAAAAATCGATACAAAAGATCTTAATGTTTAAAAGAAACCATAACATATTTGAAAAATTCACATTAAAATAAATTGAATTTTGAGTGAACCTGAATTCTAAGAAAGTTACTTGAGCAAGTATTAAAAAAAGTGTATTTGTTATTGTAGAAAAGGGAAAATGTAGAAATTGTTGTTTTAAAGTTTCAACAGTGTTTTCATTGTTTGTTTCAGGTTTATGTTGATGTCTATTACGAATCTCTGTGCCCAGATTCCATCAAATTCTTCACTAAACAACTTTACCCTTCTCTGCAAACCAACTTGTCTCATTTCGTGAATCTTACCCTCTTGCCTTACGGAAAATCAGACGTAAGTACCTATTTTGTAGATTCTAGATAATAAGTAATTAAACAGAAGTGATTTTTGGATTTCTACATAAATTTTGATAACGTTTTACTATTAGTTTTGTAAAAGTTGAATATTTCCACTTGATCTTAAATTAATTCGTAAAGATAATATGTTTTACTTAATCGTTTATTTCTTGCAACATAGTGGATTACAAATGCCTAATTTTTGCAATAGAGTAAGGTCAAATGTAATTTGCTTATTCTTTTAAATTTAGCAATAAGTCATGAAAGAAATTGTTAATTATCTCTACTTAATATCCGTTGAAAATTCATATTTGATTAAAGACATGCATGTTTTCGGCTTTTCACAACTTTCATCACAAAAAAGATAATTAATATTTTTTTGTCAGATAAGTACCTAGTCAGTTTGTGAAATACGGTATTAAGTGTCTAGTACGCAGTATAATTGAAACGATCAAAATTGGCAAAGTCCGCAACAAATTATCTGTGACAATGGACGTATCTTCTTGTTTCCACTTGGAGCTGTACTCATTTACTGCGTTTTGAATATGCCCTTGTTAAGTTAGGAAATTCTTCATGAGTAGTACAGACAAAGTAAAAAAGGAGATATAAAGAATAATAGTAAGAGGTGCAGCGGTTACAGGTTGCTTAGGTTAGGTTACTTAAGCTTTCTTTATTAGTGCCCGCTGCAATTCCTACCTGGCATCTCTTTTCTATGTTTAGATTTGAAAATCTTTCATGAGTAGTACAGACAAAGTGAAAAAAGAGATATAAAGAATAATAGTAAGAGGTGCAGCGGTTACAGATTACTTAGGTTAGGTTACTTAGTCTTTCTTTACTAGTGCCCGCTGCAATTACTCCTTGGCATCTCTTTTCTGTGTTTAGATTAAAAAAATCTTTCATGAGTAGTACAGACAAAGTGAAAAAAGAGATATAAAGAATAATAGTAAGAGGTGCAGCGGTTACAGATTACTTAGGTTGGGTTACTTAGGCTTTCTTTACTAGTGCCCGTTGCAATTCCTACTTGGCATCTCTTTTCTATGTTTAAATTAAAAAATCTTTCATGAGTAGTACAGACAAAGTGAAAAAAGAGATATAAAGAATAATAGTAAGAGGTGCAGCGGTTACAGATTACTTAGGTTGGGTTACTTAGGCTTTCTTTACTAGTGCCCGTTGCAATTCCTACTTGGCATCTCTTTTCTATGTTTAAATTAAAAAATCTTTCATGAGTAGTACAGACAAAGTGAAAAAAGAGATATAAAGAATAATAGTAAGAGGTGCAGCGGTTACAGATTACTTAGGTTGGGTTACTTAGGCTTTCTTTACTAGTGCCCGTTGCAATTCCTACTTGGCATCTCTTTTCTATGTTTAAATTAAAAAATCTTTCATGAGTAGTACAGACAAAGTGAAAAAAGAGATATAAAGAATAATAGTAAGAGGTGCAGCGGTTACAGATTACTTAGGTTGGGTTACTTAGGCTTTCTTTACTAGTGCCCGTTGCAATTCCTACTTGGCATCTCTTTTCTATGTTTAAATTAAAAAATCTTTCATGAGTAGTACAGACAAAGTGAAAAAAGAGATATAAAGAATAATAGTAAGAGGTGCAGCGGTTACAGATTACTTAGGTTGGGTTACTTAGGCTTTCTTTACTAGTGCCCGTTGCAATTCCTACTTGGCATCTCTTTTCTATGTTTAAATTAAAAAATCTTTCATGAGTAGTACAGACAAAGTGAAAAAAGAGATATAAAGAATAATAGTAAGAGGTGCAGCGGTTACAGATTACTTAGGTTGGGTTACTTAGGCTTTCTTTACTAGTGCCCGTTGCAATTCCTACTTGGCATCTCTTTTCTATGTTTAAATTAAAAAATCTTTCATGAGTAGNTTTTAGAATTATAAAAAAATATTATTGAGACCTGTACAACAAGTCCTTTCATTTGATATGTCACACAGTAGTTTTCAAAAGTTTTTTTTTTTATTTCTTATTGGCCCCCAAGAATGATCCTCATGTTCAAAATAAATTTATTTACGTTATGCGCCACTGTTTGGATCACAGATGTTCATATTTGTACTAAATTTCAACTTAATCGGTCTAGTAGGTTCGTAGCAAATTAACTGTGATATTCGGACAGACAGACACAGGAGTGACCCTATAAGGGTCCCCCTTTTCATTCGGACGTACGAAACCATAAAAAAAAAATACGTTTTTTTAATTACATCAGGTATTAATAGCCATAAAAGTTAGTTGGCTGTTGTAATTAGCTGACCATTCCATTATATACGTTACTGCATGTTTCTAAACACTTGGCCTAGTAACATTTTCCCACAAATGTGTAAGTAGTCAAGTCATCTAATCTTTCATTTATATATACCGTATGCGAAAGTTCGGATCTTGGTATTGAGTTATAATGAGCCGCTAGTCATCAGTAGCAGTAGGAACAACATGCGCACACCTGGCTGTTGGACGTTGTAGGAAGACACATACGCATACGTACGAATGCACATTTTTACGGAGCGGCAATTGTCATAGTCTCACGGTTCCGTGTTTCGCACTCGGTATAGTGAAAGTTAGTGCAAGGCTTTTTTGCATCAACGATTGTCGTATTTCGCAAAAATTAACTACGGTCGTTGACTTTTTATTAATTAATTGAATCGGCGTTATATTCTCTATAAATATTTAGTACAGATTTGAAAAGTTTTAAGTTTTTTAGATATTTTGACTCGCGTTTTATTGTTGGGATATAATTTTAAGAACTTTTGGACTAAAATTATGTTACCGCCACAAATTGTTATGTACTGAAGATGGGATTCGTATTTTAAATCTGTTTTAAATGCCGTATGCGATTTTGTAACGTAAAATAATTGAAGTAGGGGTCACGTTTTTGTGTTGTGCTTGCGTACATTTTTTATTTCTATTTTCCACCTGATTAAAGTCCGTAATACCAACAATGATTTAAAACAAAAAATTCAATTCGTTACAAATTGAATGGTGCAATTGTTAATCGCTCACCAACCGCGACCATCGGGCAAACAATAAGTGTGGTGTGCCCAAGCAGGCAAATTTTTATCAATCAGAAAAAAACTCCTACGTATACGATTGCGATTTATATCGATTTTATTATTGGCTAAATAATAAATTAAATTTTATTGGCGCATATGTACATTCGTTCAATGGCTATTCTATTGAAGCGAATTAAACTCTAATTGATATTTTAATCGGCTAGAGTACAACCCTGTTTTATAATATGCGTTAGAGATACTTAGGAATATAATAAAATTGTTCTGGAAAATGCTTTATTTCGAGCGTACGAATGCGGAAAATTGGTTTAGTTTTGTTAAAAACTTTTACGCTTGCACCATACAATATTGCAAATTAATATAAACAAACACAAACGCATATGGAGTACATGTACAGTACGCGAAGGAGCGATATGCTAACAATTTGTCGAAATCGCAATTTTCATCATCCGTTGCTACTAACACGTTAGCTTCTAAAGCCTGTTGCAATTACTCCTTTTGGAAATATCCACTAGAGGGCAGATATGGCGCGTGACGTGACGCGTAACGCGTGACGTTACATTTTTCGGTTTCATATCCTAGTAAATTTCCTTCCTGCCTTCGATAAAGAAGTTTCACTTCAATCAATTTTTGTATGCAGTTTTCTCTGTCTGAATTGTTTTGTTTGTTTGTTTGTCGGGTTACTTAGTATTATTATTGTGGGCCCTTTGAATGCCCTTCGAGTTCGTGTTTGGCCAGTTAAGGCCATTACCACGCTGATAAATGACTAATTTATTCAAGACAATCTTCCAATAAAAGCATCTTCGAGTTCATTCACTTTAAAAACTTTCTTTCTCTGAACTAAAGCTGTTGTGTTATAAATATACTAATGACAATAACTACGGGGAATGTTATCAAAAAAAAAAATAAGGTAATTATTTAATTGTATAAATAAAAAAAGTAATAAAATTCCGCAAACTTTCAGAGCTAGTGTATTTTAAGAAGAAGCCA